AATCTCATAAATTGTCACTGGTGAGACTATGATGGTATGTGATATTATTCCACTGTTGAAAACAAATATAATGTATTACTGCAGAGCCAGATTCAGGGCTAGGAAAGTTGGGTAAAGATCCTTGCCTAGGGCTCTCTGTGAATCTCTGCTGTTTCTAGTGAAACTGAACTGATTTATGGTTGTGTCAGGAAACTAGAAGTGGCCCAACATAGATCCAGATCCAGAGGCAAATGTCCTTAAAATTGAGTGTTCCATTGTGTGTATGTGCAGATATGTGTATGAGGGATGGAGAATGCGTTTAGCTTGTTACTAAATTGGAACAGATGTCAGATCTGGAATTGGAGATTTTGGTTCTTCTCCTTTTCTTGTGGAAACAATGCAAAGCTATCTTTTCAGCTGGCAAGTTGTAGCTGGTGTGTGGCTTTGGTCTCAGCTTTGTTACCCTCCAAGCTCTGAGGTTTCTCTGAACTGAAACACAAAATACAGTTCAAATGTTATGATCTCAGAAAACCGAAATGGAAATAGAGGTTGGTAATGCTGATAATTCTACGGACAGAAACCTTTCAAAGTCCCTTGCGCTTCAGTACTGTTATTCTAAATGGGTCAGACTGAGTAGGCAGCTCAAGATCATATATCAAAAAATAGATGAACTGCTTCTGCTACATGTGATAGAACTGAAAATGAGACTATGTTTTCTTAAGACTTAATCCTCCTATTCCCTATTTTGAATCATGGCTAAGAAAAATCCTGTATGAAACAAACGGACAAAACCAGCATGGAAGAGAGAAACTAATGAACGTACATACTGAAAGGGAACATTTTATTCTCCCCAAGTAATTCATGCCATTTTATGGTTTATTTGAAATGAAGTAGTCAGTCCTGGCGGGATAGTGAGCAACTTGGCACATGTGTTCAGTTGCATCCATGGAGAAAAGAAACAGTCCTTTCTGGAAGAAAGTCAGTATGTGAGTATGAGAGAACTTTTTCAGAGCTGGTCGTGTAGGGTGAGACGTCAAAAGCAGCTGGTGCTGGCCAACCATACCTGGCACTATAGACAAACACAATTTCAACAGGGCTTCAACAGGGATGGAGTTATACCAGCACCAAGAGTTTCTGGAAAATCTTAACCATGAAAGAGCCTTCTCTTCTCAAGCCAGGCTGTGTCCTCCTGTAACCAGCTTTTCAGGAGAAAAGGAGAAGTTGGCCTGAGGTTAACCACCACATGCCCAACTGGGACCAGCTCAGAGATGGCAAATGTAGAAATGCTTAAAGTATACTCCTTAGCCAAAGCGAGAGCTATTTGCTTAATTAATTAATTAATTCGCCCTTTAGCATTTTCTTAGAATTACAATTAGTCATTTCCAAGTTCTACCTACTGTTTTTATTTATCTATAACACCAAAAAGCTTTATTCATAGGGTTAATATCCAAGGGTGCTGGTGTCACGCACAGATCAGAACCTCATTGCTGCCCTCAAAAAGTTTTAAGTTTTAAAGACTTATGTTTGTCTAGCTTTGAAGAGTTCATGACAGTCTGTCCTGTACAGTATTAGACATTGCTCTGCCAGTACTAAGTTTTTCATTTGATAAAGAACAGGTCTGCTTCGCTGCTACAGCTTCCCCATCAAATTTCTTCCTCCACTAACATTTCAATGGGATTGAAAAGTGGGTGTATTAAGAAGCAGAGAGAGGAAACCATAATGAGGTGTCTGTAATATTTCCTATCTTCAAGTGTCATGTTCTCCAGCCTTTCTCCTTGCGCTTGAGAAACATAAAGTTGGATCTCACTCAGTAGAGTAAGGTCAGAATGCCGCTTACATGGAGTACCCCGTGGGGTTGAAAGCACACGCAGCAAGAAGTTTGTTTTAGGACTTACTAGATGGCATGCTGCCTTGGAAGGCAGTGCTGTAGTATAATCATCAGGATGCCTTATAAAAACAGATCTGAGGGAGTACAAAGGCAAGCTATTTGCAATGGACAGCAATACATTTTATATTGAGCGTACACAACCAAGGTATTTTTCTGTACGTCTGAGCACATCTGTAGACACCCCTACAACTGTGTACCCAAGGAAGTTCTCTCTTCCCAATGTGAAATAAAGACCAAACAGTAACAGCGTGTGGGCATAAAAATTAATGTGACGGTTCACGTAAAAAGGGGGGGTATGTAATATTCTGGTTTACTGAGTTTCATTTCTAACCATTTAATTCTGACCACCTCAAGTCTTCCTGCACTTTAACTTAACTACAGCCTTTTTGTCACTTCCCGTCATGAAAATCGCACAGCGTTTCTGTGAGATGATAAACAGGTGTTACTTTTCATTCTGGCAGCAATGGCATTTTGGTGCAGGATGAAATAATCCTATCATTAAATAAGAAGCTCACAGTGGTGTCGTGAAGCTTAATTTGTTTGGAAAATGCTTTGCAGTATTCAGATGAAAGGCACTCTGGATATTCAAAGTATTATTACTGCACAGCTGGTGGTCTACACACTGCAGATGTTTATTCCATGCTGTTGCATGGTTACTTAAGTGGCTTCTTAGTGCAGATGTTCACAAGTGAGCATGCACAACCTCCTCTGCCTATGTTTCTTGACACGGATTTTATTGCTGCTTGACTTTTGATCTTGGAAAGAATATTCCTTCACTGGTGAGGTGCTACGTGTGTGTGTGACTACGTCCCTGTTGGTTCAGCCCCCATTGCAAACAAGAGCATCTGCAGATATTTACTGTGGGCCTTTCTCTTTAGCCTCTATTTCCTTCTGTGGCTTTTACTCATTCCCACAGTGTTCGACTCTGGGGACTCTGCCTCTTCTGTTAATACTCCATCACCATCACTCACTTCATGCAGGCGTGATGATTCCCTTTGTACTCTTTGCCCAGATGGGATCAAGAGCTTCATTGCCTCTTGATTTTTTCTTTCCATGGCTGCTGCTACTGTTACATAAAGGGGTCTCTAAGAACTTCTGGGCTGCCATTCACAATAATATAATCTCTCTGAGAAGATTTCAAGATAAGATGAAATTTCTGCATGTATGCAGCTATTCTTTCCTTGCAAGTGGAGAGAGGTAAGGTCTGACTGCAGCTGACATCCATTGAGTGTGCTGAACATGCACAGATCTCCATGGAGGTGTTACATGATTTCATCAACCCATAAGGCAAGAGAACTAATGTTAAAATTTAAGTTCCTCTTGTTTTGCTGTAGTTCCAGCAAATGTCCAGATACCCAATGCAATAAATACAAGGGCAGCTGAGGAAACAAGACTTATGTCTAACCTGAAGTGCAATGCATATTGCATTACTGACCTAGGAGCAGAAAATGGGTGAATCTGTACACATGCACGCACACAGAGAAAGAGGAAAATACAGCAGAATGGTACTGCTTCTGGTTAGCATAGATGTTATTTACAAGATTCTCATGGAAGGAGGATTTGATAAAACATACTTGAGTGTTTCTTCTGAAGTATTTTGAAAAATAGGTCTCTTGACAGCATGTTCAAGACCCACTATCTTGCAACTCAGAAGAATGAGTCCTGGCCACTTATCTCTAAAGAGACTGTGAGAAGGCAGAAGCTTAAAGCTGACTACATTTAGACAGGAAACTTCAGAGAGCAGGGTGAAATCGCATCACTTTCTGTAGGACTGGGAAAGGATTGGTGGCAGTCAACCTGGCTTCACTAAGAGCAAATCATGCCTGACAAATTTGGTGGCCTTCTATGGTGGGGCTGTGGTGTTAGTGGATAAAAGTGCCTGATGCAATCTACCTTTGATACATTCCTTTGCTCATTCTGATTAGGTAACTCATCTGAAATCTTGTCGTTGTATGGGTAGCATTTGGACGCCTGTTGTCTGATTCATGGTGATGTGAGCATTCGTGATTTACTACTGCTTGGTAACAAAAGTTTAATTTGCACATGATAAAAGCCGCATTAAATCACTGGCCTCTGATTAGCAGCTGAAAATCAATCAGGAGGGGCTTTTACTCCTGTCTCTTTGGCTTGAGATTGAAACATTTCATGCAGTAGCTCTGCTAGGGGTAAGCCGAGCTGCCTTACTAGCGTAATAAAATGCAGACCATCCTAAGGGGATGAGGGAGTTGCATTCCAAAACTTGCACTGCAAGCGACCAGAGTTTAATGGAAAACTTTGAAAAGATTCTATTAAAAAACAGTTTTCCTTCAATATATCATATGCTCTCTTTTATGCTTTCCCTGCTCCCTCTTTTTTTTTTCCTTACTGGCACAAAACCCAGGATCTTTGTTTTGACAGAGCTAATCCGCTCATGCTTTCATACTGGCCCTCGGGCTCCCCACCTGTGGAAAGATCCATGGGAGCAGAAAAACTACTGAGCGGTTGCCACATGCTCACCTTAAAGGGAAGAAATCAGTGGCCTCTCAGAGATTGGGACTCCAAACACTGTGCCTCCCGAGGACCCATGGAGAACATGAACTATGAGTCCTGTGCAACCTCCAGCAACAGCTTTTCCTTCCATATTGCCTTCTGGGATTTGCTCTCTTGTCAGCTGGGCTGCTTCAGGAGCTGTGCTGTATGGGCTGCCTTGCTGCCATGCTCCCTCCCTCTTCCCAAAGGCACACTCAGTGCTGACAATTCCTACCCACAAGCTTTGCTGGTGAGAAAGGTTTTGAGTAGCTTGCAACCACTGCCAAGTTTGACAGCAAGCTGCATAACAAACTGGTACAGCCCTGAGATCTCTCTGCTGCTTCTGTGGGGAGACAAGGGAAGATTTTATGGAGTGAAAAGTGATGGAGAGAGAATTAATTGCTTTGTGGCTCCATCAGGCAGCGTGTTTAAGGTGGCTAACATCAGGCATTGATCTGCTCTATAGAGTCTCTGCTTAGCCAACAAAAAGAGGCAAAGTCAAGTTCAGATGTTTAGGGCTTTGTATACAAGACTAAGCCCATAATTTATCTTAGCATCTTTGCCATTCGGCATCACACACAGCTAATCAGGGAAATAACCTGTGGTCATGATTGTTCTGTTATAGGAAGGGTTTGCTCCTGCTCATGGCTAGCATTTCTCTTTAAAGACTGCTGGTTCACGTCAGCCTTTGTATCTAGTAAGTGGCTGTGCCCAAGCAACACACTGAAAGTTAAGTTTGTCATGAAGGAGAACAAAGCTTAGCTCCATCTGGTCATGTCATCTCATCCCACCTCACGGAGAAAGAGGTCATTCTGACTTTGTAACATCCATGTGGGTTCCTGTGGCTCCTAGGCCAGGCTTATATGTCGTGGAGTCACTATGTCTAGCACAGGAAATTTTAATGCGTAGCATTTTAATCAAGGAAGCTTGAACTGAATGTTTTGTTGTGTGCTCAAGGAGTCTGAATCCTTCAAAGCCTTGAAGTACAGAACTGCAAAAAAAAAAGGCTGATGACAGTTCTGAGTCTTGGCTCCTCTGCTGTCAGTAGGAAAATCCCCATCCATTTCACTGGAGCCAGTGTTTTTATCCACTGTGTTTTCAGGCTCTGTACAGTGGTTTGCAAATGAGATCTTGCAGTCAGGAAGGTTAAAGAACTGTGGTAGCATGCAGAACATGTCTTATCCAGAGCTTTCTGCATACGAAGTAGCAGGCTAAGTCAAACTGACCAGAGACCAGAAACCAGGTCTCTGCCTCCTGACTGAGTCCTGTATCACCATCAAACTGTTATGTTCACCCTCTTTATTGAATATTGTATGGGACTATGGCTGCACTGCTGCTGTTTTAAGACAACTGTTCTTGGTGGGTAGGAGGACCTCTCTGTCAGAGTGAAGTCAAGTTAATGCCTGAGAGTGCCCACATGGTCTTGAGAACATGCAGAGCAAAAGCAGAGGTGCCTGGGGAAACATAAAAATGGGAACTAAATATCTAGCATGGATATCCAGCAAATAATAAATATCTATCAAACTAAATATCCAGCAAGATCAACCTCACCATGGGCAGGGCAACCGAGATGGGACTGCAGTTTTGCATTTGCGTGTTTGAATCCTGCCTAAATCATGCTTTATGTGCCCATGTCTTTGTATGGGTCTGGGCCAGGACCGCACAGAAGCCATAAAGCCAGGAACACAGTGGTTAATTAGAAAGATTCAGTTTAAGCTGGCTCTTATGCCACTTCTCACAAGTCCCATTTTTAGCAGTTATCTTTGATGAAGACCAAACAGGGAGACCTCTGAGACGAAATGCACTGTATGCTACAGGCTGGGAAGTGGCATGCTTATTGAGCCTGATTTTGCCAAAACAAGATTTTTAGCCTTTGTTTTGTAAAAGGAGCAAGATAAGGAGGAAAGCTGTTTTCTAAGTGGCCGTCTCCTGTGTGCCCTTTCCCTTGCTCTCTTTCTTTCATATTCCATCTGGTGCCAGTGACTTTTTAAATGCTCTGCAGCCACCTAGAGGAAAAATACGCTTGACTGAAGTTAATTTTATATGGGTTAAGCCACGGAGTGGGCTCTGCAGAGGATGAGAATGTGAGTTTCTAAACTAGCCAGCCTGTTTATTATTATATCACAAGGCCTCCTTTGAAATATATGCAGTGAATCATCAACAAAAGCAAAAGATAACTTCAGTTTATGTTTGCACTTCAGAAATATTTCCTGCTTCATGTTCTCATTGTTCTTGTTATAAAACATAACATATTTTTATGACAGATAGCATAGCAGGGCCACGGTATGTTTTGTCATTAGACAGAAGGAGGTGATCTGTTTTGAATTCTTTTTTTTTAGAAGATTGAAAACTTGCATTATTTTATATGCCTGTCTCATGGCTATGGCAATATGTTGTTGGTATGTCTACATGGTTTATGGTTCTGTAGGTTCTATCTAGGACATTCATAGTGCTCCTGGAAACCCTATGGCTTTTCCTCAAATGAGGACAGTCACACAGAATACGCTTGTGGGCTCTCTGTCTACTAAAGTGAAAGTTGGTGAACTCAGATTCATTTCGTCTATGCCGTGTTCGTTTGCACCATATGAAACATAATAGCAAAGCTCAGCTGTTGATTGAAAGTGCCACTTGGTTGGTGTAAAGCTAGATATTAAAACATGTCTGTCTTTTTGAAATGGAATTGGAATGACTGGGTTTTCTTCTCTTTAGATAAGAAATGACAGTTCACTCTCCACTTGTGCCTGAAGAACTGAGTCTGAGTGGACTCTTCTTTAAAAAACAAGTCTAGACATGGAGAAAAAGATAAAATTTTATTTATTATGTCAATTACATAATGCAAAGGCTCAAAACAGTGATGGGTTTTCCATTGTAGCTGTGCCAGAGGACACTGAAAATTCCATTACGATGGAGTGTCTCTGTCATAGGGCAAATTCAAATGAGCAGTGTAAATGCTAAGCTAAGTGTGTGCATGAAGTGAATAGAAATGTAAAAAACCCCTTAGGAAGTAACTTTCTTTCTGAGCATTAAACCCATAGAGCACCTAGAGTTTTTTTCACCAGAAGGCTTTGCATGATAAGCCATATCAGGTAGCATTAGACATACTGCTGCTGTAATCTTTACCAATTATTTGATGGGTAGTTGCATCAAATGTGTGATAGATGGGTGACTGTGGATATTAGTTAACTGAAGAAATAAATGTCTTCAGAAAGCAGGTTCCATCTTTTGAACCTTCAGTGTCAGGGTCTAGGTGGTACTCCTAAATTTGTCTCTGTATCTTTCTGTTGGTCCAAACTTCTTATTATAAATGACCTCTTTATAATGAGTTTGGAAACTATGTCTGTTCTCAAGCTGAGTTACTGTAGTCCTTGTCTTTTCCAGCCAGGTACACAAACCACAGATCATACAACATACAGGCAGACAAATCCTTTTTGCAATAACCTCACCAAAGAGGGTGGAACAAACTGTATGTATGTATGCTGCTCAAGCAGCAAGTAAAAGAGTATTTTTCGATAGGTACATTTCAGTGTGATGTTGGGTACCTGTTTGATATGGGTTAAGAAACTTGTGCTGTATGTCCTCTTTATTCTAATAATTCTGTTCTACACATTCTGTTTTGAACTGTTTCACTTCAAGCTAAATCTACACATGAACTCAAAACAACTCAAGTTCTCATGTGTACAGATATTTATTTCAAATGCCAGGACTTTAAAGGTTAAATTCTTCGTGGCCCAGCTCAACTGAAAGAGAAGAGGAGGAGGTGAAAGCTCTCTCCCACTTTCTGAAACTGAGTGGCAGTGCAAGGGGTCAGCTCTTCCAGGGCTGTGGGTGGCATTTCCATCACCTGCCAATGTTTCTTGAGCAATCCACTCTCTCTAAAGGTGGCAAGTCAACTGCTCAGCTGTGCTGTAACTTTCAGCTCTAGGAAATATTCTGAGTCATACCAGATGCTTCTTGGAGCCTAGCATGGGACTTCATTGTCTTCCTCAGTCATGGTTCAGCTATTTCCCTGCGGAGGGATTTTAGCCAGCCTTTCCATTCTGAGGATGAGAAAGAACATTTAAAGCCACAGATGCCTGTAAGTATCCAAGCACAAGAGACAAGAAGCCTACTTGACATATTAGTAGATGTATTATCATGAAGAAAGAGGTAGGGGAGGTTGCTATGTTATTTTGTTCTTTATTTGGTTCTTCCTCATTACTCCCTTTTAAGTGCCTTTGCCACTGCTACTTCTAATTTAGCGAGATTGTAAGTAGGTGTCAGGGTAGTGCTGTACTGAGAACAGTCACTTTAAGCAGTTTTAGAAAATGTTCCAGAACATTTCATTGTTCTTTTTACCATATTCTTGTGGGTAATGTTGGTGAAGGCAATGAAACACAATTCTGGCACAGATTGCTCTTTCTATAAAAGTTAAAAATACTTTTTGGCTTTAACCAAGGCTTTTGGAGAATACTTTTAGTAGTACATAGTATAGGCTTGGGGTGATATTGTGCAGCACAGTACTTTTTTTTTTTTCAGGGGTCTACATGGGCATTCATTTATTCAGTGCCTGGAAAATACCATGTTTGGTTACCCTTTGTGAAGAAAGTATGGGTTTTGACTGCTTTTAAAGGATATGGATATGCAGAGAAATGAAAAATGAATTGCTGTTTGTTTCTGCTACGTTAGAAATTACCAACAATAATTACCACTTGCATTTACAGCATTCTTTTCCTGAGTTGACTGAAGTCCTCTAAATAACTGCTTTGAAAGAGTGCCTTGGCAGTCTTTCACACACAAGAATGTGGGTATCTTGTGTGATTCTGTTTAATTATCTCTGAGTATGAATTCTATATCTGGAGCAGAAACAATGGCACTCAGAGTTCAATTAGGACTCTTCAATATACGTGTAGCATGATTGCTATGCCCTAGAAATCTTAGATCACACACAGCTCTTGCCCTTTGGTGGAGTTGCATATTTTATAATTTCTTTCTGCTTGTCTCCGTGTGGCAATAGTGTCCATGGCTGAGTCAAAAGTCACACAAAAATTTGGAATCAGGATGGAATTTGAACGCGTGATTCAAATGCCTACTACTGCAAACTCCTCCTCTGCAATCTGCCAAAAACAACTGCGATATTCTCAGGCGTTATGGCCAATGCTATCTTTATAGAAATGAGATTTCCCCATGGAAAGCATATGCCTGCAGTAGATTTGCCATGCGCTCATGGAAGATGAGCTGTGAGTTTCCTTTCTGCTCCCACAGTTTTTAGGTTTTTTTTGGAGCCACTTCATCAGTGTGGGAGTTCTGGTACCATGGGGGAGTCTCCAGTACAAAACACATGTATGCTGCCTGCCAGTTTTACTGGGTACCCTCCCACTTTCCAGGAAAAAAGAGTTAAGGCACTTATGGTTTAACTTTGTGATGAATAACTTTATCAGATCCCCAAGGCAATGTTACCATTGTTATGATGTGTAGGAAAAGCATAGGGGGAGTGCAGATACAGTTACCTGGTCTTGGAAGAAATGATCCCTGAACATGAGTGCCTTTGCTGCATGAAGCAGTCTGTTCCCCAGGCAAGTGCTTTGAACAAATACTCAATAGATGTAAGGGCTTCTGTGTTTTCAGCAGCTTCCAAAACTACCTTCCTCATGAAATATTTGCTACTTTTGCATTAATACTAGTAAATTCTGGCAAAAGAGAGAATGATCTCAAGCCTCTGATCTCAAGCCTCAAAGCCATAGTCTTCAGCTCTACATACCTTGCTTCAATACTTCAGTAAGATTAAACATGCACATACAGACAAGAGAGAGCTTGCGATAGCAACAGCATGAGCCTTTCCATTATACATCAGAATATGGCTCAGCTTCTCCTTACCTTGTGAAACGACTTCTCTCTCTGGGACCATAAGTAATGGTAACTCGTTGAAACTTTGCAGGAAAACCAAACCAAACAAACTTTCTTGTAGCAACATAACAACTGGCATATGGCAATTTTCCTAACTAGTGCTAACTTAGACCAAGCTTTGTGCTAAAACCTCTGATTTGGCATATGCAATAATGAGTTATCCTAAGAAGTCTTGTCTCATGGGATGGTGGGGCTGGAAATCAGTTCTCCTCTCTAGGTAGATAACCCTTCAGGCTTTGGAAGTGTACAGCTTATCCCAGGTACAAACCCCTTTACCTTCTGATGCCTCTCTTCACATACATAAAACGAATGTAGTGATGCAATCTCTAATTGCTTTTGTAAAGTCTGTTGAGTCCTACTGGTAGAAAGAGGAAGATGTTTCCATTTGCATAGAGCCACTTCTTGAAGGCATCAGGAGGTTTGAAAAATGCCCTGCATCAAACTCCTGTTGCAAAATGTGGAAAAAAAAAAAACCCATCCATACAGAAATCGTCCCTCCTAAAATCCCAGACTGGTTTGAGTTGGAAGGTCCCCAAAGCTCATCCAGTTCCAACCCCCTGCCACAGGCAGGGACACCTTCCACTAGAGCAGGTGCTCCAAGCCCCATCCAGCCTGGCCTTGAACACTGCCAGGCATGGGGCAGCCACAGCTTCTCTAGGCACCCCATGCCAGAGTCTCACCACCCTGATGGTGAAGAATTTTTTTCCTAATGTCTCATCTGAATCTCCTCTCTGTCAGCTTAAAGCCATTCCCCTTGTCCTGTCTGTACATGCTCTTGTTGAAGCCCCTCTCCGGATTTCTTGTCGGCCCTTTTTAGGTATTGGAAGACTATTATAAGGTCTCCCCAGGTTCTGGTTGTGTATTTGTGTGTACTGCAAAGGAAAAGGAGCTGATCGTGTTCAGCAAGTAAACATCTGCCATTTCAGTCCTGCGTGGCACTGACTAAAGCTGTAGGCTTTGTTGCTCTGGTCTTTTCTTCTTCCTCCTTTTAATCATGCATGTAGCACAGGACTCGGTTCTTTGCCCTTTGTGGGACTTGGAGACTTTCCATAGTTTAATGTGAAAAAGGGCTGTTGCTGAAGGAGTGTGCTTATGCAGCTCTCTTTGAAGATGTGGCAGCAGAGTGTGTGTGTGTTTGTCTCCTCCAAGGGTGTGTCCCACAGCTGCCGGATGCCTTCACTTTCATGGATTTCCCCTTGCAGCAGTTGGTGATTATGCGTGCCTGATTAGCGGCATCTCTGACACACACCCTGCAGGCAGCATCCACAGCATCAAAAGGCATCACAGTGAGGCACTTGGTACCAGTTGAGGACTGAGAGGCTGGCTGTGCTTTGGTGCTTATTTGGAGCAGGGTCTCCAGATAAAGCACACCATCACAGATGAATGTAAATCTGTAAATATGTCCTTAAAAGAAATGTCATTTTGTTTTGGATGACAACATCATTGCCTCTCTGTATGATTTCACTGAGAGCAGAGCTAAGCTGCCCAGAAGTATCTTGTGTATATTTCCGTAGCTGGTAAAATGGCTTCTTTTATAAGTAACTTGCCCTGCAATCTTATGAGATTATTTCTGTATGACTGTAATGGATTTATATTGAAGCTTCATTTAAGCAAATATTTTGGTCTTGGTAAAGTGTCAAAATACCGTGGAAGACCCAAAGTCTCTGTTAGTGTGCAGTGTGGTACCTTGTTAGTACAGCTTCATTATTGGCTTAATTCCAGAGTTATACTAGAAGTTTATTTTCCTGTTGTTTGTCAGTCAGATTAGAGTACAGCTAAACCTCTGCATACATGCAGTTAGTGTCACCGAATCTATTTATCAGACCCTGCTCCTTCAACTGCCAATCCATCTAACTACAATTAATACTAATGCGTTAAACTTGCCACCAAGGAATTTCATTAAGGGAGGAAAAAAAAGGTTTATTTTGATTGATACTTCTTAGCAGCTGTGGATATTGTTTCCTTTACCCTCATTTTTCGTTTAATGGTAATTAATATATTCTTAGAAATAATTAGTAATTGTAATTCAGTAATAAACCTGCCACAATCTGATGATTGCTCCTTAGCCACGCTTAGGGCTTGAGCCCAGCAGCTGTCAACAGAATTGAAAACTTCAGGAAAATAAAAGCTACCCAAGTAATTAGGTATGTAATGAATCAGAGGATTGTGTTGCATGGGGCGTGCTACCTTCTTTAGTGGACACACATGCTGAACACTGCAGCATATTGTGTTAATTCCAGCCAAACTGGAGATG